ATTGTGCTCGATAGGCTATGCATCAGACAAGACATTAAAATCTAGCTTGTCTCTGCCATTTTGAAAAATGAGGATGGACTTTGAACTGTCACTAATTTCTAAAACCTAGAATTGTTCCTAAGCATGCTCTACATTCTGATTTCTGGATTTTCTACATGGCTTTTACATCCTGTCCCTTGAAAAGAAGTGTAGGAATAGTTACTTAGAATTCAGAATGTTGTGATGGCTGAGAGTGCAATCCTCCATATATTTAGACAGAAATAAGTCCAATGGCTGACTTGAGGAATGCTGGAAGTTCTAAGACTTATTGCTGTCTAAACATGTATAGAATTGTACTCTGTGTTTACAGATTTCATTCTGGCATCTTACTCTTCAATAGAGTTATCATGCTGCAATAAACCCAACAGTCTGTGCAGCAGTCTAGTTAAAGTAAAGGTCTGTCTTCACTTGGCCAAAAATTGAAGTGGGAAAAAAACTTTAAAAAGTATTTTTCCAAGTACTTCCCTGTGACACAGTAAAGGTTCTTGTATACTAAAATGCTTGTGTACTTTCCTCAAAGTGTGCTATTTTTTTAAAATCCTCTTAATCTTGTTTATGTCTATTACTGTTTGACAAATATGGTAGCTGCAGGAAGAACATTTCCCATTCTTAAGGCACCAGAGACCAAGATCTATCCTTGAGTCCTTTAGTGTTAGTTATTGCTCTGGGAAAATTTGGAGCAACCTGCACGGAACAATTTTAGGGGTCTTTATAGCATTGCTGCTATTCTTTTGCAAATCTAAATCTCTTAGTATGTAATATGAGAGCTCATTTGCATATTCATTAAGTTAACATTTCTGCAAAAGAAGAAGCTTTCCACAATAATGTGTTTAACAGCAAACTGAGCAGTCTAGATAACAATGACTCTGAGCACAGTTTCTTCTGAACTTAGAGCGAATTCGTACTTCAAGCATGAAGAATTTTTTACTGACTATGCACCAGGATTAAAAGGCTGGCTATTCAAGTAAAAATCGTCTAACGGTCCTAATAATCTGAAATGTTACCCCCTTTTATTGGTTATTCTCATATAACCCATTAAAAATGAATCTGGTTTCAGCTCCTTGACTTTCTTATTCCAAGCACACAAAGCATTATGTGTTGATTCTAGTATCTTAGCCAACTGTTGCAAACAGGGAGAAGAAGAAGAAATGCATTCACTTAGACCACCTCCATCTCCTTCCCTCTCAGGCAGATGCGAGGAGTCTGCATATACTGTAGCCGTTCATATATCCGATAGGTACGAAAACAAACCAAAATAATGCCTTGCTCACATTGCACTTGGAGTAGTGGAGTTTACTCTAGGAGGCTTGGATCAAAGCTTCACCTCTGTGACATATACATGTGTGGCTTCCAGTAGGTTCCTTTCTCAATTTCAGATTGCCATCTGTAAAACGGCCACAGTCATGTCTCGGGGCTTTGTTAGGAGGACAAACACAATAGGAGGTTGTAAAACACTGCCACTTATGACTGCTCATAGGTGTTCAAGGAACAGATGAACAAGGATACCTCTTGCTCTTTCCCTAAGGGAGGACTTTAACTGGGTCAGACAGCTTTAGCATGCCAGCAACTCACTAGCCTTGCTACTGCAATGATGCTTCATATGGGCTTAAGAAAACTGCCTATTCTAAAGCAGCAGTTGATAACAAGGACGGATTAGCATTTCCCTATCAGGCACGCTGTATTTACATTAAGCACACCCAGTTGTAACATTAGGTATGGCAAGGGAAAGCATACTTCATAGGCTTGCAGAATCCTTGTTTTCCATTTGTTTTTCCTGATATCCACCGAACAGAGCCTAGTACAGAAGAAATACACTTACTTTTTTTCTGCATGGAACTGTTATTCTACTGAATGTAGTTTTAGTTTTGTCAAAGGATTGAGATCCAAACTCAAAGAGCTTTTCCTTTTCTGCTCAAAGAGCTTTTCCATTACATAACTTCTAGGTGGTGCTGTACCATAGCAAAATATCACAATTACAAAAGTATGAAAATAAAAGGTTTCTTTAATTCTTGGAAATAAATATTCATTTCCTCTGCTCTATAACCCCCCCCCCCACCAGGGAAATGCTTTTGAAAAACAGAAGTGAAATGGGAGGGTCACAACCTTAAATAACCATGAATAAGGAATAAGAATAGACAGTAGATGCCTCATGTAGAAAAGCTCTTAGAATTCAAGAAAAAATGAATGGCATTCCTTCCGTACAAAAATTTACTTCTGGTTACCTCAGGCTTTCTTAATTTCAGCATCACTCTGTATGCATTTGTGTCTCTGTGCATTAGGAGCAGGGGCTGTTTTAATTTTGTTGCTGTCATTGTGAAACTATTAGGAATTATAAACTCACCCAGAGATCTATTATCTGAACTAGATCTTTCTGTTCACCCTGATTTATGAAACAATACAGTGATGACAGTCAAAACATAACTAAGTAGTTGCTGTGTATTTACAACAGTTTTGATAATAGCCAGTAACTAATAATGGTTAATCATCAGCATCCCGTAGAAGTCAAGAAACTGGGCAAAAAGGTTTAGAGTGAAAATGGTACTGAGGTCACAGATCCTCCACCATTTACAAAGCACTTCTGGTTTATGCCAGCCAGGGTACCCTACCGGTGGGTGAGTAGGTGGAACCACTCTTACGTTTGGTCTCTGGTGCTTCTGGTTGCTTTTTGTTTCTGCCTACACCAATGCAGGCAAAAGAGCTGCTCTTACAGTTTCACAGGAGAATGGAATGTATAGACATGTGTAGGAAAAAGGGGAAAGGAAACCCAGAAAAATTCAGAAAAAAATGGAGGGTTTTCTCCAATTTTTTCAGGAAAAAAAAGAAAGAAAGAAAGAAAGAAAGAAAGAAAGAAAGAAAGAAAGATAGATGAAGGGAATTTAGGAAAACACTGCAGGGTTTTTTTGTGGGGGGGGGGTTGTTTTTTTTTGGAAAAGTGCTGTTAGGGAAAAAAACTTTTCCTATTTTTTCCAGTATTTTCCATCTCTAGGAGAGGGTCATTGATCCAGGGTCACACTTTTGCCTACACCCAGAAGAGTCAACCCCAGTTAAGGCCTACTTCAAACAGGGACTGTTTTAAGATTTATGCCTGCAATACTTTCTATAGGGATATTTGGGGTGCCAAAAGTGCATGTGCAGTCCCTACGCACCCACACAGCTCCTTTCCAGCGGTAAAGGAAGTTGTCTGCCCCAGATGTGGGGATCAGGATTGCTGTATAAACATTCAAATCATGCTCTCAAGAGAGCAACAAAACAGAGAAAGTAGGGTCCATTGACATCAACCCACTGGATTTTGTTAGAGTGAGATCTTAAAAGGTACTCTCAACTGCTTTTGAACAGGGATTAGGGCAACCCACTAACAGCAACCTCACAATGTGGTTGTACTAGGACAAGAATGTGGTGTCAGTATGAGGCAGTATAGAAATGAAATGAATAAATAAATAAATAAATAAATAAAACTTGAGAGAAGAGAACAGGTGGGAAGAGTTATTTAGGCAATATTTCAATTTCTCTCACACAATATATATAACTCATTAATTTTACATTCATACTCCTGCATTTTAGGGTTTAGTCACATTATTAGCTAACTTGTTTGTTTTGCTTTGCTTTGCATAACTTTGGGACCTAAACTTTCTTTGCCAAACAAGAACTTTTTTAAAAAGCCCAATGTTCAGCTTGCTTACCCAGAAGAGAAGTAAACCTATAGGACTTGTTTTGGGGTGGTTCTATCCAGGACAACACATGCATTTAGCATTGGACAAAAATGCCTGACTGTTCAAACCTAACATAAGGGAGAAGAGTGGCAGTCCAAATTAATTTTATCACAAGGATGAGGAATAAAAAACAGCTTTAGCTGATTCTGATCTTTGGCATACACTTTTGGTCAATTCTATGATGCAGCAGTTCTTACAATCTGATCCAGTTTCCGGTATACCATAAAGCTTTTTAATGCACCCTCTGCATCCCACCTCAGCTCAGCAACATGGGAATGGACAGATAAAACCACCAGATTGTGGATAAGCTGTTCATCACTGGGTGCTTCAATTGAAGGAGGACACTGGCAGTTTGGATAGATTTAAAAAAACAATTGTGAAGAGTACAGACAGCATGGTAAATGGTATAGTATAGCAGGGAGAAATCAAGTACAGCTCGTTTAAGAAAAGGAGATAGAGCAGTTGGCACTTTCCCAATAATGAAAACACCATCGTTAAGAAGAATCACAACTGTACAAGGTTTAAATGGTAAGAGTGTATTTAGGATGGTCTAAATTAAATACTAAGAGGGGGCAAATACCATCCTAGGAACACTTCAGCAATGAAACAACGTGTACATTTGCGTTAAAATCCCTTCTGAAAGATAAGTAGAGGATGGAAAAGGGGGCAGAGCGGATGCTAATTCACGCTTAGTAATTATAAATAGGGACACTAGTTGCGTTGGTAATATAAGATTATCTAATCCAGAGTAAACAGATGCCCTGTGTAGATGTGGCATGGGAAAAATATGAAGTACTGTAAAGTGCCAGTAGTAAATACAGCCGCAACAGCGGAAGGAGAGGGAAGGACTGCACCTCAGGTGTCGTATCCAAACCTCCCTGAGGCGGCGCGGGAGGCGAACCCCTCAGCCCGGCCCCTGTCAAGGGCTGCCCCCACTGGGGAGCTCACCTGCGGCTACGACACGACCGAGAGCGCTCGCGGCTGCCGCCCGCGTCCCACTCCGGAAGACACAATGTCAAGAACCAGGTGGACGCCGGGAGGGCCGTCGGGGCCCCGCGATGAGAAGGCACCTGTGCCTCGCCCGTGGGGGGGGGGGCGGGCGGGCTCCCCACGCGCGTGCGAAATGCAGGCAGCGACACCCACCGCCGCGAAAGCCACGGGACGCCCTGCGCGGGCCCCCATGCGAACGCGCCCCGGCAAGGCGCGCGCTCTCCCGCCCCCCGCCCCGCCGCGCGCTCCATCCACACTCACTCTCGCCCACGACCGCCTTCAGCCCAGCCATGGCCCCGAGTCCCGCGTCGGCTCCCGCCGCCCCCGAGCTCGCCACTTCCGCGTCTGCAGGCAGGCGGAGCCGACCTCGGGACTCGCCCGCGGGGACACACCCCCTTCCGTGAAAGAAAGGTGGCCTCTCCGGATGCTCCGGCGAGGCGTAGCTTGGGTTGGTGCGTCTTTTCTTCGTGCTCGTGGGCCTGTCCTGCAGAGGCCAAGGCTTTTCTGTCTTAGGGCTACTTGGAAGTCGTTTGCACTCAACTTCAGCGCAACAGTCCTGAGCACTACCTGGGAGAGAGAAGCACTGTTTTGGCTCCAGGCGTAAACGCAGGCCGGTAAACAGAGAAGTGGCAAAAACGAAGAGTAGTTTTGTATGTTCACCTACCATACAGTACAAGGTGAAGCTTTTCTGTGTGTTCTGCTCCCCACCAGAAGTATATGAGTGCAACACATTCGTCCCTAAAAAAGCTGCATAGATGGCAGAATAAAGTACCCCACTATGTGTGTTGGAATTACCCCTGTGTATTGGCTCTTCACAAGTTCATGAATCACAAGTTGGAATTAAGATTGCTGGGAGAAATATCAACAACCTCAGATATGCAGATGATACCACTCTAATGGCAGAAAGTGAAGAGGAACTAAAGAGCCTCCTGATGTGGGTAAAAGAGGAGAGTGCAAAACTTGGCTTAAGGAAAATGAAGATCATGGCATCTGGTCCTATCACTTCCTGGCAAATAGAATAGGAAGAAATGGAGGTAGTTACAGATTTTATTTTTCTGGGCTCCAAGATCACTGCAGATGGTGAATGCAGCCAAAAAATTAAAAGACACTTGTTCCTTGGGAGGAAAGCTATGGCAAATCTAGACAGCATACTAAAAAGCAGAGACATCATCAGTTGCAATGTATGGCTGTGAAAGTTGGATCCTAAGGAAGGCTGAGCGCCGAAGAATTGAGACCTTTGAACGGTGGTGCTGGAGAAGACTCCTGTGAGTCCCTTGGACTGCAAGGCAATCAAACCGGTCAGTGCTAGAGGAGATCAACCCTGACTGCTCTTTAGAAAGCCAGATACTGAAGATGAAACACAAATACTTTGGCCACCTAATGAGAAGGAAGGACTCCCTGGAGAAGAGCCTAATGCTGGGAACAATTGAAGGAGCGCTTACATCCATATATGCCCAGCCGCCCCCTGAGATCGGTGGGAGAGGCCCTTCTCCGGAAGCCCTCCGTGAAAGAAATTAGGAGGGTGGTTACTCGGAGGAGGGCTTTCTCAGTGGTGGTGCCTAAGTTATGGAATGCGCTCCCCAGAGAGGTCCGCCTGGCGCTGTCGTTATTTGTTTTTCGGCGCCAGGCGAAGACCTTTTTATTCAAGCAGCATTTTAAGTGTTAATATTATTGAATTTTTCTGGCCAGGGCGGCTTATTTTATATTGTATATTTGTAATTTATTTTAATGTATATATTTTAAAATGTTATGATGATTTAACTTATTTGTTGTAAGCCGCCCCGAGGCTTTGGCGAATGGGGCGGCATAAAAATGTTTTAATAAATAAATAAATAAATAAATAAATAATAAAAGAAGGGGATGGCAGAGAATGAGGTGGCTAGATGGAGTCACTGAAGCAGTCAGTGTGAGCTTAAGTGGACTCTGGGGGATGGTGGAGGACAGGAAGGCCTGGAGGAAAGTTGTCCATGGGGTTGTGATGGGTCGGACACGACTTTGCACGACTAGCAACAATTGGCTCTTCAAGAGCATTTTTGCACTTGAGGTTTTAGCAAATTTGTAACTCAAATGTAAAATTGATACTAACAAGAATGCTTATTTAAATGACAAATGCCTCTCTTTTGCCTTTAGTTTTTGTACTAGTATACTAAAAATAGTTTTAGTATAAGCAGGTAGTGCTGCATGAGAGGTTTGAAGCTGATGGCATGCTTCAATAGCACAACTGCATGGTCAGGTTGGTGAAGGAGGACAGAAGCTGAAGCTGAGCTAGAAGTGCAATGCAATACCTAAGAATGCAAATGCAGTCTTGAATCACATTAACAGAAGCTCATTGTTCAACAGGAATAATTCTCTTTTCTACCTCAGTTAGGCCCCATCTGGAATTCTGTGTCCAGTTCCAGGGGCCCTAATTTAAGGCCATTGACAAGCTGGAAGATATCCAAGAAAGAGCAAGTAGAATGGTGAGTGGTCTGGAAACTCCTATGAGGAACAGTTGAAAGAATTGGGTATGTTTAGCTTGGAGAACTGAAGATCAGGAGGAGACCCGATAACAGTGTGTAAATATGCAAACAATGGAGCACATTTTTTATGTGTTTTTCCCAAGGGCAGGACTGAAACCAGTTGATGGAAATTGCAGGGGAGTAGATTTCAGCTAAACATTAGAAACAATTTCCTATCAATGAGGCTGTTCAACACTAGTACAGAATTCCTCTGGAAATGGTGGATTGTTTTGTTGGAGATATTTAAGCAGAAGCTGAATGACTTTTTCTCTGCGATGCTGTAGCTGCACCCTGCAGTGAAAAGTCTGAATGGAGCAGGAGGTTGGACTAGACAATCTCCAAGGTCCCTTCTGCCTCTGTGAACACAACTTCCAAGTTACAGCCATGTTAAATAAGGTATGATAATGCTGCAATGTCGTTGTACCACTATAACTTTAAGCCAGTGCTTAGCTACACCCTTGTAGTCCTAGTATCAGTGTATATGGCGCTTTGCAAAGTACAAGAAGACAGGTCTCTGCCCTGAAGGATGTTTCCAGACCAAGGGCTAATAACAATACTAATGAGAAGTCACTGTCCGGCTATTCCATCTTTTGTGGTTAATGATTTTTTTGTGGAAAAAAGGATGGAAAAAATACCAGAAAATCACAGAAAGATTAGCAGTTCAAGATGGCATCTAGATGACAGTGTAAAATTCTGTGCATCAGGTAGGGAGATGGCATGATAAAAACGAGAACCATTGTGGTGTGGTGGTAAGAGTGTTGGCTGGAGGCCTGGGAGATCCGGGTTCTAGTCCCCACTCAGCCATGAAGCTCAGTGGGTGGCTTGGGGCCAGACACTGACTCTCAACCCAACCTACCTCACAGGGTTGCTGTTGTGAGGATAATAGGGAGTTATGTAGGCCACTTTGGCCTCCACACAAGAGGGCAAAAGGCAGGAAGTAAATGCAGAATACTAATAGTGTGGAAGCACCCAAACAAATTGACATTGGAAAAACAGGAAGGGTAGGAAACAGAGGACGCAGTAAACTAGAGGATGATGATGATGATGATGATTTGTAGTATTTAGATTTATTATCCTTTCTTATTAAGATTTCTTAAATACCTTTCTCAAGATAAGTTACTAGAAAATTAAAACATACTAAAACAATTATCCACTAAAATAGCACCACCCCATAAAAATGAAATATCAGTAACAGTCATAAATAGTTCAACTCATGTATAAAAGAACCCATCATATGCTGGCTGGGAATTATAGGATTTGCAGTCCCACACATCTGGAGAACATCATTTTAAGGGAGGCTGCCCTAGTGACTGACTCTTAAAGGTTTTGGATTAGCCGGAGGAGGCCAGAACTGGTTGAACAGGCTGAGCCTGACAGATCCCCACTGGGCAATAGATGGACGTCTGCCAGGATCCTTCTCTTCCCTAAGGAATGCAAGAATTCGAGAGAGAGGTATGAACAGAACAAGCAGCTTGAACCAGCCATTGCTGATCTGGCAGAGATGTGAGAATGCGGAGTTGCTTTCCATAAGAATCTTGGGGCCCTGATATGCACCCCTACTCCAAAATCAAATGAGGGTGCAGTATCTGTTGGAGTAGATCTAAGCTTTGAGCCTCCCTCTGATACTCAGTCTCTGTTTATGTGTAAATAAACCATACGTAACAAAATACCGTCAATCTCCAGAGATGTCATTCCAAGCAAACAACCCTGAGTGATGCCTGCACACCTGCATTTCTCATTGCTTGGAGAAATGGGAAATGGCCAGTGTAGCAATATGCACTGCACTGAAGACGCGTGGTTGGCCATAACCCTCTAACCTGGGCTGGCCGGACTTGCTCAGTGGAAGAGCCACATGCTCTAAATATCAGATGTTTGTGAGCTGCAGGTGGCAGCAACAGACAGCCAGCAGCCAGCAGCCACCAGCAGGGGTGGCAAGTAGCCAGTGGCACTGAGCAGAGAGCCAGTGGCACTGAGCAGAGAGCCACAGAATAACCTCAGAGTGCCGCATGCAGCTCCCAGGCCTCGGTTTGGCCACCCCGCTCTAGCCCAAGCAGGCTCCTCTTCTGCACTGGCAAGGAATGTAAGAAGTGACCTACTGGCCCAGACCGAGGTCCATCTGCCCTTGCAGTCAGTTCACACAGTTGCCAGCCAGCTTCCACAGGAAACCCAGAAGCAGAACATGAGTGCAGCAGTGCCCTTCTACCCATACTCCCCGGCCACCCATGTACATAGATGTGCTTGCTTCTGACACTGGTAGCCAGTAGAACTAGCCATCAAAATTGGTGGCCATCTTATGGTAGTGGGGTGGGGGGGAACGCGCTCCATCACATCTGAGGCTGTGTATCTCTCAGGCCCAAACTATGAGTGACATCCCCTCCCATATAACTCATAGTTTGGGCCAGAGAGATACACTGCCTCGGATGTGCTGTAGAATTGTTATGACTAATTGCTGTTGAAAGCCTTATCCCAGGGAGGCAAAGATGAATGGCAGCCTCAGGGCTCTGCTGCCACAGGAGGCTTTGCAGCAGCTTCCACAGCAGCTGGCCATTCCTCTGGGATGGCTTCCTCATACTGCTGCACCCAGCATGGAGATGCAGCCATGAGGAGAGCCGTACCTGCTATTCCTCTTTCTGACGGGCAGCTTTTTCAAACAAAGACACCCTGCAGGACTATGAATATCGGCAGCCCCGTTTCTTTGCTGTGTTGAACTTGTTCTACCTCAAATGCTGCTTACTAAAAACACTTGGCCATGTCACCTGCATCTCTGTACTCCTGGGGGAACAGTTGGAGTTGTAACAAAAAAGATCTGTGGGAAATGGCTAACCAAAATTGGAAGGGGGTT